GGAAATGTTTCACTTGATTCAGTTCATACTTTATATTCCTCCAGTTGCCTGCTACCTAATTTTGTACTATCCAATTAAAAATTGCACATTGGTGAGTGATGGTAAAGCAGCTCTTTCATTCCTATTATTTTTAACATAATTGACCAGAGAAAAATGAGTAGTAGCTCTACAGAGGGTTGTGTTTATATAAATTTTTATTTCCTCTGAGATAGTAACATAATTTTTGTTACTGGTGGTCAGGTGTGTTTATGGCTTGGGGAACCCTGTTTTTCTCTTATTTCCTATGCCATATTGCATCGTATTCTGTGCTCCTGCATAGAGCAGGTAAGTGGCCTGCATGTTTCCTGAGAGCCTTTTTTTGCCATCTTTTTTCTTATTTACTCAACAGCAACTTTTAACAGACTCAAGTCAAAACCTGATACTTGTTGTCTTCTACACTATATTCTTAATCAGGCTGGTTTTTGCAAAGAGATAATAAGCACCTAGAATTTTCCTCAGTCATTTTGGTTCAGTCTCTATATTAATCTCTTTTCAACCACTAGCCTTTCTAGTCTAGGTCTTTCTACCACTAGCTGTCAAGAGCAGAGTGATGTTCCTGATGACTACTCTTCAGCTAAAATTTCAGTCCATCTTCCACAATCCAGTATTTATAGCTGATTTTCCTCTTTGTATGAAAGCTTAGTGTCTATGAAACTCCTTATCACTTTCTGACTTTGGGCACACAGGGTCTTCACAGATCCTGGAATTCACCCTGTAAGTTTGTATAACCAAAACCAGAGCAACGTTTTTACCTCATGGGTTGCTGGGAGGGCTTTGGTTTGGAGGGAGGTGCAATGAACCTATTTCTTCTCTAAAGCTGGGGGCTAGGAGTGGAACTGTAATTTTACTGCAACTATATAATTCTCCTTTACACAGTTCACTGCTCAAACCTGAGTATCTAACCCATATTTTCTCCCAAAACTCCGAAATGCACATGTTTTTTGCTGATGCACCTATAAAATTACAGAACTTGTAGAAGCTGTTTGGTTTTCCTGCATATAATTAGGCAAAACGTAGGTATTAATTTCTGTACCATGCCGCAGGAAGATTCATGATGCTTCTCTCCCAAAATGGTGTTGAGACAATGAAAAATTTCAGCATTAGTGTGGAAGTTCATAGTATATAAGTTGATAACCTAGCAAAACAGAAGCAAGCACTGACAAAAATTTTGGAATGAAAATAACTATAGTGAACACTACTTTTTCTTAAAAGCACTGAGATATTTGCTAGATTTTGCTATAAGATTTTTCTTTTGCTATTGGCACTTCAAAGTGTGTTTAACACAACTAGCTATCTGCCCAATATACTGCAACTTTTTGAGATTTAAAAGAGGGCTGAAATTAATTATATTCTTTTCCCTGAATTGAAAGTATGTATATTCTGAATAAACAGTACATCAATGTTCTATGAATCAAAAGCTTAATTTTCACAATTTTGAGGCATTTATATGCATCTATCCAAAATGAACAGCACCTTTCCTCACCTACAAAAGAAAAGAAATATTTTCTCTTAATACCTTCAGAAGCTTGCACTTTTAGCTTTCAAGTGCAATACTAATTTCCATAAAGCAAAATTGTAGATTTATGCTTCCTTTTGCTTAAAGGAAGAGGAACAATTGTGTACATTTTAATTGATATGGGTGTCTGTGTGAAAATGTAGACACAAGACAAAATACCCTGCACAAAAATTATACATTAATACAAAGCTTCTAGACTGGCACTGCCAATGTGCCTTGCAGCATTTTTGCTCTAAGTGGCACTAAAAAAAAAGAAGTAGCTTTTCACTAAATACATGGGAAAAGGATGTGAGAAATGTTCTAAAGTTACCTGTCTGCAAAGACCTGAAGTTAGACCTTAAATCTCCCCTCAGTACACCATCAAACAACTAATAACTTGATAATAAACCCAAGTATCTACTTTGAAGTCATTGCCATAAAACTGATTCAGGCCACAAAAGGGTAAGTATCCTTTCAACATCAGCAGGCTCACAATCCAGTCCCCTTAGGAAGAAGGCTTCACAGTCCAATCCAGTTCCTTCAGCCATACAAGAATACATAACCAAACAAACTAATTGTCACTCTTGTTAGCAATGTAAATCTTGGTTTAAAATCCTTCTACATAGATGCAGATTTTAGCTTAGTTTGAATTAGTGAGGTTTTAATATAGTTTGTGCTCAAATGTGTATGTTGAAGTACAATGTAGTCAGCTATCACAGGAGAAAACAACTTCCGGAATATACTGTAATTTAGCTGTTTATTGTATTTTAGAGATGGTGCCTACCAATAGTTCATCTTCCAGACTTAACTTTTACATTCATATTATAATTGTTTATACAGGCATAATATATCTTTTTGATCTAGTGGGCATACAAAAGAGAAAAAAGTTTGTGTGCTTCACTCAGGTACTCTGTCTCTTTTGAAACAAACCTCTGAGCTTATATTCTTTTTAGTTAGTGTTTAGTACAGTTTGGGTAGATTATTTCAACAGCCTTTAACAACACTCTAAAGATGAACACAAAGTATCTTCCCAAACAAGAGATACTATTGCATTAGATATACTTTTAAAATGAAACTGTTTGTCATCGGAAGGCTTTATATATAGTCTGGTTTACCTGACTCTTGATAGTCCAGAGTCATAGTTTGATGGACTGATTTGCATGGAGTCACTACCTCTGTAATCTCAATTTTGTATCACTGAAATAAATAAACTGTAGATAGTAATTGAACTTAGAGTCTTGCCATGGGGCAAAAATCTGTTCCCATCCAATATTGTGACTGATCATTATTACCACAAATGTGTCCTGTGTCTTGAAGACATATTTCTAATAGAAGTCATAAATGTTGCCTTCTGAGCTATATTGCAGATTAAATATTGGTTTCTCTTTCTGACGGATCTTCAAGAGCTTTATCAGCTCTGCTGAAAGCATCTTCATTCTCATTGTTTGTTAATGGTTCTGCTTCTTTAGGGTCAGCATTTTTCTGTGCTTTCTGATTCTCATCTTCTAACTTCTTTTCTTTTGCCAAAAGTCTGTAGTTAATGGCATTCCCAATGAACAACCAGATACTGGCCACAATCACAATCACTCCGCAGACAAAATACATGTACTGATATTCACCAGTAACATCCACTAACCAACCTGAGATATAAAGACAAGAAGAGAGAAAAAGAGCTTTAGAATAGAATACTCAATACAATC